TACATGCTTTTATCTGTGTATCTGTCTACCCAAAAAGATGCAGGAAGAGCAAGGAAAGAGTGTGGCCCAACGAGTCACTTTCTTGCTGCGTCTCCTCTTTCTATCTGTTGAACTTTGTGCAGTTCCCCTAACCTGAGTGGCACCTTCTCTATTTGTAGAAAAAAGGTGATAACTGCATTGGGTCACAGGATTATGAGCATTGAATGAGGAAACAATGTAAGAAGTTGCTATTGACCAGGAAAGAGTCTATTGAGTGTCTTAGCCAACTTTCTTTTACAAGGAGGAAAAAAGAGGCCAAAAGGTTTTTCCCTAAAGATGACACAAATGTTTGGTATATAAACCTAGATTATTAAATATTGGGAGGTTTCCACTGATTTCATTTAAAAAAAAAAAAAACAAAAAACTACAGTCATCTCCCCTCATCCTCGGGTAATACGTTCCAAGAACCTGAAATTGTGGCTAGTACTAAGCACTATGTACCCTGTATTTTTTTCCTATACATAAGTACCTAAGTTTAGTTTATAAATTAGACACAGTAAGAGAATATTCGAATTGCCAGCATCACTGCTCTTACACTTTGGGGCTATTTTTAGTAAAATAAGGGTTACTTGAACATAAGCACTGCAATACTGAGATAGTCGATCTGATAACCCTGGTGACTGGTAAGTAATTAGCTGGCAGGATATGCTGGGCAAATGGATGATTCGTGTCCTAGGAGGGATGGAGTGGATGGCGCAGAATTTCATCACGCTACTCAAAATGGGCACAATTTAAAACTTTTGAATTGTCTTATTTCTGAAATTTTCCGTTTACTCTTTTCTAACAGAGGTTGACCGGGGAAAGTGAAACCTTGATTAAGGAGCATTACTGTATATTCACATCTACCAACTTAAGTGAGAGTCTTGTGCCAAGTTAACTTCTGGATATGTGAAAGGAGGTCAGGGTATGTCTCTTCAGCCCTTCAGGCAGGCGAAGGGTCTTGAAGACCAGAAAGTCATGGGAATCATAAAGGAAAGGAACTGATGGGGTGAGCGCCTGCGACTTGGTGGAGACGGACGGGCGGGTGTTGTGTTCATCTCCTGGTGCAGGAGTGCAGGGGGTTCCAGCACCAGCTCTGCATGGCAGACCTGAACAACGCCCGTTCCCTCCCCAAATCAAGAGCTGGGTGCAGATAAGGAAGCCCATCCACCCACCCTACCCTGGAATGCCCAGTGCCTATTTAATCCCAAGAGGTTGTAACTTAACAACGTATTCTGAGTTTTTGCTGGTACCAGTTTAAATAAGCTCTGAAAATTTCAGTTGACGGTACGAGCAATCTGAACCCCAGAGCTTCAGAATTAATTTGAGCTGCCTTTCTCCACACTCTACCCTTATTAACACTACTGGTTTTACTACTTTTCCTTTGTTAGGGAAAGCAATAAGTGACTCATTCAACAGAAGTGAAAAAATAGATTTGTAAAGAACTGTAGAATTTTATCATAGGAAATATGGCTTTGATGGGAAGAAAGCCATTAAACTGTATTTATCAATTATTCTTCAGTAAAGCTGAGAAATAAATAAAGTAGCTTGGATAGTAAGAATGGCGAGTAGAGTGAACCCCAAACTTCTCCTGGTTAAGTAGGAACTACCCACTATTCTTTTTTTGTAATTTCACCTTGTAAGAAAGGGAAGAGCTGAGATACCCAAAATAAACCCTTCAAGTTCAAAATGTCAGACCTGAGTCAATTCATTTCTGGTAAAACGCCAAATTGCAATGTTTAAAAGCTATAGGCACTTAGAAGGATGGTTGGGGAGCACGGTATGTGCATGGTACCTCCTGTGGTTTGCGTAGGAATTATGGGACAGGGGAGCTCTCTCTTACTAGTTCACTAGGAATGAATTCCAAGATAACATTATTTGTACAGAGAGCACAGTTTATTGTCATGGAATTTAACTTGTTCTTTTGGTTGACTTTTCATGTTTATGACAATTTTTGCTTTGTTTTAGTCCTATATACCACTTTTAGTTGCTATATACCACTTGCAGGTAAGCAAGATTCAGGCTGAGAAATCTTTAAACAAATAAAAAATTAATTATCTTAAGATACAGATTAATGAAACTCCCTTTTCTAGAGCTAGCTCCTTGAACACAACTGGAAGAATATCACTAAATTATTAACAGCTCTCTAAATAAAATAAAAATTAGACTGAGAATCTTTAGTATGGGGGAAAAAAATAGACCAGGATGAAATGATAGTCTGTGGTTTCATTCTCCGCCAGCAGCTCAAAATGTCTTTTAACATAAGGAATCGTTATTAAATTTGTGGCTCAAGCGTGTGCTATTCTCTGGAAAATAGTCAAAACCTGCCCTGCCTAAATTCCCTGGTTGTTGTGAAGATCACTCCTTGCAAAGAAGGCATTATGAACTGAAAAGCTGAATATGACGGAGCGAGATGCTGAATTGGGTGTCTGTGTGCTCCTCGCTTGCCAACAATCCTGTCAGATGAGTGTCCTGTGTTTACAGACGAGGAAACGGAGGCCCAGAGAATTTAAGGAACTTTTCTGAGGTCACCCAGCCAAATAGAGACAGCCAGGATTCAAACAACCCTCTGTGGGATTCAAATGCTCTCTTCCCAAATGTGCAAACATTTCTAGAGGCTGGAAGCCACTGGGGAGAAGGATTGTCAGGAGAGGGGTGGGGGTCAGGAAGGGAAAGCTTTTTCACCTGTTAACCTATTCATTCTGCAACTGAGGCAATTTGCTTAAATCCATTTTATTGCCTTTATTAGAGTGGCCCTAACACTCCAGTACATCAGAATCTCGTGGAGGTCTTGACAAAACAGACTGCAGGCACTGCCCCCAGAGTATCTGATTCAGTCAGTCCAGGGTCCGTTCCAAGAATTTCCATGTTGAACAGGTTCCCAAAAGATGATGATCATGCCAGTAGCCATAGTCTGAGAACCACAGCATCACTATATAATTTATGCTATAGTATTTCTGCCTTTTCTTGGTTCTGCTGTCATCTCAGAATTATAACAACCAAGGGAACTTATAAAGGATGGGAAAGGGATCTGTGCCATTTCTAGCATGCTTTCCTCTTTGAAGCAAAAGCTCCTTAATGAGACTTGTACAATGTACAGATTGGTGCATGAGCCCTTAGAAGAAGAGCATGTTTGAGAGGCCCTACCTAGGATTTATTCTAAACCTCCCTGTTCTGGTTTTAAATGCCTTTGTAATCTCTGAGCACAGAAAAGAACGTAGCCAAAGTAACCAAACATCCTAACTAGTTTTTGAGGAGGTCACGTAGATGATCCTCCTTCCTCGGAGAGAGGCAAGGATCTGGATGAGGAAACAAAATGGTATTAAAAAATTGACCAAGAGTGTACTACTATTTCGTGGTAATTAGAGTCCAAGGCTCCCAACCCAGGGCCCTTTCTGCTACCATCACTCTGCCTAGGAAACCCTTCTTTGCCGTGAGTCACTGAAAATGATTCCTATAATTTTTCTGTTAGAAAAGAAAAAAGACTAAAGAATTCTTTTCTCTTTCCATTTAGATTAGGATGCCCACAAGCAAAGTTCTGAAGGCAGCCAGCCAGAGAACTGGGAGCCAGAAGGATGCAGTCTGGGGAGCCCTGGGAGTGGCCAGGAAGAGACTGCAGGTTTGACCCCTTCCCCAACCAGAGTCCCCTACCCCATGCTGCATGCCCCGCCACCCCTCCCCACTTCAAGTCTCCCAGGGGAGATATGCTAGGATCCACAAAAGCTGAACCAGCAACAGGGAGAGGAGGGAAGATAAGAAATGCAGACAACACACAAAGTGGATGTTTCATCTCCAAAAGAGATCATGTCTGAAAAAGACATTTATGGTATTTTTAGAAGATCAATGTCATTATTATGAATCCCCCAAAATATTCAGCGACATAATAGTCATCATGTTGCTTTCAGTGGACAGTTTCATTAAAATTTCTCCTCTTCTAATTACTAACACTCAAGATGGCTGTTCTACTGCACTCTGTACCTCCCCTGCTCCACCCAGTGCCTGCTTCACCTACACCCCACTCACAGGACTGGCCTTCCTACAGGCTTGCCCCAGGCCTCAGCTAATGATTGTTCAAGCTTTAGATCCGAACTCCCCACTTTGTTTATCAAAGGGGCATTGAGGGGCCTGCCCCTCTGCTGGTTTCCCTGGTAACCGATGAGCCAACCTGCTGTAACTCCCTCTGTAACCGGTGGTCTCCCTATTCCCCCCAGGAGTGAAGACTGTCGCCACGTCCTGCCCCGCCGTCCACCGCACACGGTGGGGCGTCGCCCCAGGACCTTGCTGCTCCTATCTGATAAACCATTGATGTCTCTGTTCCTGACTCCAGGCTCTTTCTTTGGTCAAGCACAGGTCTTGCAGGCCCGCGTGGTGCAGCCCAACAGGTGCCCTTCGCCTTCTAGTTTATAAAGCACTTTCACAACAGGAGAACCCTGTGAAGCGCCCAGTTACACACTCTGAAGTGAGGAAACTGCTATCACAGGGTAAGTGAACTCTACAGCCTCGTCTTTCTTAGTCACCAAAGTTTGTGCCTGAGATTTTAAGAACGTTGCAGGGATCTGTGTTGTTTATTTTCCTCTCTGTGTCTCCAAGGACACAGAACAGAAGAACCATTTTCTCTCTGCCCAAACTCTTTTCTGTTTATAAGACCCATATATCCAGCTGTCGATTCTGCATTATTCCCTTGGAGACCTCATAGGCCTCTCAAATTGAACATTGCCCAAACTAATATCATGGCCTGCCCCCACCCATGTCTGTCCACGGCTCCATATCCAGGTTGGCAACACAGAAACGCCTTTCTTCATGCCACACTGTTCCCACGACCGATAATCAGGTCCTCTCTTGGTTCCACCTCTGACATCTCTTGATCTAACTATGACTCTCCAGCCAAAGTGCCACTACTTTTATATAGGCCATTATTAGCTCTTGCTAGATTGTTACAGTAATATGTTAGCTGGTCTCCCTCCAACCTCTTTAATTCTTTTTTTAAAATTTATTTTTTAAAATATTTAATTCTTAAGAAGCACTTCTCTAGATGCAATGTTATTTTAGGCAGAAATGCCCTTCCTAAGGACTGTCCTGGGCCTCACAGGATCACAAGCATTTTTGGCCCCCAACTCATTAAATTCCAGTAACACCCTTGCCATTGTGATAAGCAAAAACTCAACAAGGGCGGGGGGCAGAATCACAACCCCCAACACTGCCTCTGGAATCACTAACGTAGAAGGATAGCATCACCTCCCCGCTACACTATAATGACATCTTAGGACACATCCTTCCTTAAAATGGCCCGCTGGCCAACTGTACGATACCCTTCCCATAGGGCCTTTACAGGAAACCCTAACTGTGGTCAGGTTTCAGGTCCTGGGGGCAGCCCGCCTGCTTTCCCAGGAATTAGATGAACTCCTGAGAATAACAGGGATCCTAGGGTCAAGCACAGCGTGGTTTTTAAATTAGCCTAATTTTATGTATTGTCATTGTGCTCATTGGTTATACCGAGTTACCTGGGATTTATTAGAAGAAACAAGGAGAAGCACACAGGTGAGTTAGCGCTAGCCTTGGCACTCAGTATCCTGTTGTTGGAAAAGTAACACATTGGGTCCTAATTTCATCACTGAAGAGATGTTACTCTACCTTTGGTCTCCAAACTTGAATGCTGTCTATAGTGAAGCTTCTCTTAGGGATTAGATGTAGTACTTCTCTTGCGTTAAAATTTTTCGTGTCAGCAAGCAATAGTAGAATGTGTGAAGTCATGAGATTTCCTCTCTCATGAGTGTAGGATACTGCATAGATGCCTGTTATATGTAGATATCAAAAAAAGGGGGTTGATTTCTAAGGTGTGTCAGTGAGACAGAAGGGAAGGGGTGGGGCATAACCATTAAGAGAATGACACAGCCATTGAAGATTTAACTCCCAGGAGACCTTGAGGCCCAAGATGGCGGAAGACTTGACTTCCAGGGGACCTTCTTTACATTATACACTCAGTGTAGTATTCTGCCACACTAAATGGCACATCCACAGGGCCATGGCATGAGGCTGGCCACTGAAGGCCAAAAAGTGATGATGGCCCAATTCCTGGGAACCTCAGGAAGCTGGGAACCCCAGCTTCTTCCCCAAAGTGGCTGGAATAATCCCACTTGTTAGCATATGATGTTACCAAACCCATAAAAACTAACAACCCTGCACCTCGTGGTCACTATTTCTTGCCTTCTGAGATGGCCTGCACTCTTTCTATGGAGTATGCGTCTCTCTGAATATATCTACTTTTACTCAACTATGGCTCGCTTTTGAGTTCCTTCCCTCACTTGGCGGAGCACATCCCAGCAACTCAGCTGAGACCTAGGACACAACCACTTTTTCCTTACAAAATAGCCCTAAAAAAAGTCATGATTACCTGCACTACCATGCCATCCCCAAGTCCTGGTCACTTTAGCTGAAACCTGTGTTATCATGTAAAGGCTGGTGATCTGTATCTCAACTGTCTCATATATAAAACAGGCCCAGATCATTTTCCCAATTCCAGTGATACAGGTTGGAGATGGTGAGGAGTTTGGTGGTGAGGAGAAAGTTAGTTGCATTTGCACAAAAATTGTGCCAGGCTTTTCCAGCAGACCTGTTTCCACAATCATGTTAGAAATGAAGTTCTGGGACATTGGTCACATTCATGTGCCAACCTCTTACTTCCTGGAAGCCCCTGGTCTGTGTCCGTTTCCTTTCTTACAGAGTTGATTAAGAGGTTTCTAACTTTTGGATAGTTTGACTATCCAAAAACTGTAAATAAAACCCTGTTCGTTTGGGGGAGTTGGAGGTCAGTCAGAGGTTTAGTGCGATTCTAATTAAAGGGGCCCCTGACCCAAAAAGATTACGAATCATTGATAAGGGATTTCTGTGCACTCACACATATCCCAGATACATTCCAAGCTCCCATGAAGCTCTGTGGACCGTGTTACGCAGAATGGTTAAGTAGTTAGAAGTAGAAATTAAATGTGTGATGCACAGCAGCAAAGATCAAAGCAATCAAAACTGAATTAAGGTGAAATTACAGAAAGAAAATCCATGGCATTTGATTAGGTTGCATTTTATTTAGATAAATGGAAATCTGCCCCCCCCAGACAGAACTAGGAGTCAAATATTGTCTCAGATGAAAGGAAACTGCGAAGCTTGAAGCTTACATGGAAAGCGAGAATTTCCAGCCCTTGACTATCTGTTGTTCCAACAACAAAGGAAGATCCCAGAACAGAGTATCTGTGTAACAGAGACAGACAGCTCACCGTAGCATTAGCAAAAGACCCTGAGGGGAACATTTTATGGTCTTCAATTACAAGAAATGGCGAGAGTTTACAAGTCTTGCATTGCTTTCTATTGTACATGGCTCCACAGTAATGCCAAAAGTAGCAAAATTTAGGCACTTGCTCCAACTTCTGCAGTTTACATTGGATTATTAGGTATGTCACAAATTAACAGCAGCTTCAGAATTATAATACAGAATTGTATTTCATGCTACTGTTAAGAGCATTCCTCTTGTAAATAAAACAATGCTGCTTATCGGACGCAGGTACAGAGTTTGTACACAAGTAATCCAGGGCACTTCAGGAACACAGCCACGAAGCAACCTCCACTGGAAAACCCATTGTGATGGCCAGAAGGACCTGGCCGCGTGGTGAAGAAAAGACCAAATACAAATAGGATGAAGTGGCAGGATGGAATTTAAACCAAAAAACGAAAGTTTACTACAAACTACACAAACCTTTAGTCTGTTCAGAATAGCACAAAGTTTCTTCCTGCCAGGGGGAGGAATTCAGTGGAAATTTGGAAGTGTAGTCAACGCCTTACAAATTGCTGTCAGATCCAATATTTAACTGATCTTCAAAAATTGACACCAGCACTTGGATTGTTTTAGTCTCAACTTGGCAAAAGAGAGAGCTTTAGATCAGAGAATTTTTTTTTTATTCTGGGGATTTTTAAATTTAGTAATGAAGCACAGGTGGCTATTATATGGGAGAATAACTCCTAAAAGGATATTAAACGTTTTCCAACTACAAGGCCATACGCTGTTACGAGGTGTCTTTCTAATACGGCCGATTTTTTATTGTAGTCAGGTTTGTTGGTTTAAGAGAAACTACTTTCCAGTTTTAACAGCAAACTGTCTTTCTGCAAAGATCATTCTACATTTTCTAGAATGTTATGCTTTAAAATAATTGGCAGTTAAAATTTAAGTTCACAAACTGGAGTACTAAGTTTAAGTAAAGTTTTAGAAGCATATATAGCAGGCCAGTTCTACATGTGAAAAAGTGGAACTTTACTAGGTCACTGACTGTTCTTTGCGTGGCAATTGAGAGAATTCTTTATACATTAGCTTGAATCATAAATCATTTTAACACTTAAAAAACTTTTCCAGGATCACTGGTTAGGCAAGGCATTTTCATTACGAAGCCTTCTTAAAATTTCTTTCTAGAGACGTCATTAACAAATATTAACAGAGAAAATTGACTTTTTTTCAGGAAGGCACCACCAGATGGTAGCATTGTACCAGTACTGTCAATCCGAACCACTCCTGGTTTATTTCAGAGGATCCTGCTCTGCTGATGATCGCCTCTGAACCCCAACTCAAATCGGTGTAAAGTGGTAACGTCACATAGTGACATGAGAAATTTCTAGCTTATCTGCTTTTAGAACGCAGTGAACATATGTCCCAGGCTTCCTAGTACCTAATAAATCCAGCAAATCTAAGTGAAGCAAATATTTTATTTGAATCAGTTGTCAAATCACAATTTATCCAAATGAACATAATGTTACATTGTTCTTAAAAGAGTGGGCACAAATATGGCACAGACATAATCCGGCATCTCTCAAAATACCATTTGTAGAGAACCTGGCTTATTTCAGGCTATGTGTGAGCATGGCCCAGCACAGAAGAGAAGACTCAAAAGACTTACAACAGTCAATTCTCTTCTTGATAAGATGAAAAACATTTTATTACTTTGCCTCAAGATTAAGCACACTCATCTGTCCCAACAACCACAACAATTAGGAGAAAAGACTTAAACTTAATCTGCTACTGAAAAAACTTCCTTCCAACCTCCACTGGAGGCTAGAAAGAAAAATTTCACAGTAACAATGGAACGTTCTGTATGCTCTCCTCCCCCCTAAAAATGCTTTATATTTTTAGCACACTGTGCATAATAGGAAAGAGACCAGTTTCAGAGTAATACTATGCATAGGCCTAATCCTTAGTGAATTTTAAAATAAGAACTGTAGCTTCTGAGCAGGAATGTTATTTCTAGGAAGCTCTGTTTTCACAGGTTCTAACTAAGGTGTAAGGCTTCCCAGGACTTCACCGTGGCTGCGTGCCCCGTCGTTTATCGTGTGATACAAGAGGAATGCGCTATATTGTACATTTCCTTAAACAT